TAAATAATAAGATAGGAAAAATAAATAATGATTTATTTACATATTTTGATGAGTTAATCGATAAGAAATTTGAATTATCAACATTAACATCACTAAAAACAACAATATCTGATAGTAAAATACTTCCTATAGAATTAAAAGAAATATTAATTAGAAAGATAAATAAAAGAATAGAACAGAAAAAAGAATATAATACAATAGAGCAAAAAATATTAAATGAGAAAAATATTGATAAACTTAATTCGATGGAAGATGATATCATTAATGCAAAGCATTTAATAGATACTCAGAAACAAGATCTTTTTAACAAAAGAGATAATCAGATTAAAGAATTAAAAAAAGATAAAGAATTTGAAAGATTAAAACAAGAAATTCTTGATACAAATCTTATAAGTTCTTTGTTAAATTTTTATAAAGATATTATAGATTCATCAGATATTTCAGCAGAACAAAAACAACAATTACATGATATTCGTAGAAATCAACTTATTATTAATACTAATAAAGAGTATGATAATTTAAAAGATGTAATTAAGAATGAACGTGATATACAACGATTAGAAGATAAAAATCAACATGATCAAAGTATAAACAGTATTCATGAAGAATATTTGAATGGAGAAAGAACAAAAAGAGACTTACATATTCTTCGAAGAAATATTCTTGATCAAAGACAAAGTTTTGAAGAGAATGAACAATATGATACAATAAAGAGCATAATTGAGACAACTGATAATCTTGATGAGATTAAAGAAGATTCAGTTTTAGTTAAAGATTTATTAAACTTAAATCAAACACTTCTAACAGATGGAAGAAACAAAGGAATATTAGAGTTAAATCGAAGAACTCAAGTTAATAAATTGATTAATTCTGAAACAGAAAGATATAATGATCTTGTAGAAAGAATTTCTAATGAAAAAGATATCATCAAACTTGAAGATAAAAATTTATATGATATAGAAATTGGAAATATAAATGAATCTTTATTAGAAGGAGAGAATACAAGAGAAAGATTACATATAATAAGAAGGAATAGATTAGATTCTTTATTGAATAATGAAGAGAATGAAACTTATGATACAATTAGTTTTTTAATTGAGAATACTGGAAATATCGAAGAGATAAATAATGATTCTCCTTTAGCGAATGATATTATTAATTTGAATCAAACATTATTATTGAATGGCCGAGATAAAACAACTCTTGAAAAACAAAGAAAAATGAAATATGAAGAAGAAGAATATAATCGAATAGAAGAAGAAATACAATTAGAAACAGATATTAACAAACTAAAAAATAATTTTAATATACAGATAAATAATTTAAAAGAAGAATTTTTAACAAAATCAAAAGATGATCTTTATTGAAATATAGAATTAAGAATTAGTGAATTAGAATCAATTCCAAAACAACCTAAACGTCCACTTCCTATTGAAGATGAAGAAGATATTCCAACTAGAAATATTGATAAAGCTTCAGAATCAAGAAATTTAATAGGTGATAGTGTTCGACAGATAAATTATATTATATCAGAATATAAGAAGACATTAAGTGATGATGATAAAAGATTTTTTAATAGAGTTAAAACAAGTAATGTTAGACAAATGATAAAAGTAGCATATGAAAAGAGTTTAGATAAAAGATCATTGTTAAATGTTTTTTATAATATCTGGGTTCTTTCTAAAGATGATCGATTTTTATTGAGTAAAGGATTTACTAAAAAAAAGATACAAGAAGGAAAAAAATTATCTGAAGATATTAATGATTACTTATATGCAAACACTAAAAGGTTGAGAAATATGGAACTTCCTAGATTAAAAAAGAAAAGTGGATTTAATATGGAAACTCGACCAAGAATATATTTAAAATCAACTCAAAGTTTTTTGATGAATCCATTAGGATTTCCAGAAGAGAAAATTGATAATATTAAAAATGTACAAGTTATAATTGATCAATATAAAAAATCATTAAGTAATCCATTTGATATTTTAGAAAAAGATATTAATACTCTTCAAGATACGTTAACTGAGTATATGTTAAATTATAATAGTGAAGATGAAAAGAAAAAGTATTTAGACAAAATTACTAGAATACTTCTTAAAGGTGAAATTAAACCTGAAGATGATGATATAATAGATATTTTTAATTCATTTGATTTTATATATTAATAGTTTTATTATTTTATAAATATATATTCTTTATTTTTAAAAATGTATAAATTAATTCTTTAAACTATTTTTTAAATAAATTATGGATGAAATTAAAACAAAAATCGATGTTATTGAAATGT